CCCCGCACCTCGCTCAGCCAGTGAGCGGGAACCGGTCTGTATGTGGGATCCGAACCCTCGGCGGGAGCGCCACCGTGCTCCCAAGCGGCGCACTGCAGCAGTGCGCCACCGGGCCGGCCCGGGATGAATAATTCTTGTGTCGTCTGACCAACATGCTTTCTTATTGCCCAAGAATCTTGTCAAAAGTTTTTGTTCCATTTAAGGGTCAAGAGATGTGTAGACAGCTAAGTAAATGGTAATCCTCTTTTCATGACCCAATCTGCTATAATTAATTTCACTATGCTGAGACTCTTCACTTTTTTTCACCTTTTGTTTTGTATATTCAGATTCTAAATTGCTTTTATCATCAACTAAGATGCTCTATTTACTTTCTAAATTTAAATTTTACCTATATCACAACTGTGAAAAAAAAATTCCTGTAAGAGAACAGAATCTAGACAGAGAGAGGGACTATGCAATTCTAGAATTTCCCTAGAGAACTTGAGAGTTCATCTAGTCCAATTCTCTCATTTTATAGTTGAGGGGGCTAATGATCTGAGAGGTGAAATGTGTTTTCCAAGGTCACTGTGTCAAATCTAAGTAGAGAACCCATGTATCTTAACTTTCAGTTTTATATTTCTTCCATTGGGTCTTGTGTCTTGGGACCGCTATAACCAGAAATAGAATCTGAAGTTCAAGCAAACAAACAAGACAAGGATGTGTCAGTCTTCGGTTTTCCCCAGGGCCATATTCCAACCCTGTGTCATAAATCAGCCAGCAGTACTTTAGCATCTTGATGGAGGATGGAAGATTCATGGTTGCTGAAGCCTCTTCTTTGCCTCTTCCTGTCCCATAAAACCCAGTCCAGAACCTGGATCTAGTTGAACTCCCACTTTTCCTTGTTTATTTTGGACATGGTTGCATCTACACTTTATCTTATAGCTGTTAAATTTTATCTTCAAGTTGACCTAACTCATTTTATATTTAACATTTACTGAGAGTTTAGTTTGTGCCCATCTTTATATAATGGGATGGAGACACAGGGAGATGTATCTCACAGTGTCTTAATTATGATCACAGTGCAACATGTCCTGTGTAATATAGGCTTACAACGCTGAGGAGACTCAGGAAGGAGAAACTGGGTTCACTCAAAGAAGTCAAAGAAGACTGAGCAGATCAGGTGATAATTCTTCTTTTATTCCCCTGTCTCCTTTCTTATCAGGGCAGAGAAGTTAACTTTTTACATTGGCATTTTCCAGAGTAATCTCTCCCTGTTTTCAATAGAAGAAAAATAATATGTAGGA